CAAAGGAAAGTTCTTCAGGTCTTTTATTTCCAATTCTACTGTTCCTTCCTCTGTACCCACCAAGTACACGTTTCCTCAGATATAAAGCTGCTTACTCCTCATCACCCTTTGGCTAGACTATTTGAATTTGCTAGATGGAGCTTATTTCAAAACAAAGTAGAAGGGGAGGAAAAAAAGGTGCAAATCAAGATTACTAAAACTATTTTGATGTATCAAAGGAGCCTACATCTTTAGGATAGAGCATTACCCTGAAACAACTTACAGGTTATCTTTAAGTTTCTCTTAACTGGGGGCCGCCCCGTGGCCAAGTGGTTAAGTTGCACATTCCACTGCGGAGGCCCGGTGTTTCACTGGTTCAGATCCTGGGCTCGGACATGGCACAGCTCCTCAGGCCATGCTGAGGCAGCGTCCCACATGCCACAAGCAGAAGGACTCACAACTAAAAATAGACAACTATGTAGTGGGGGGATTTGGGGAGAAAAAGTTGAAAAAAAAAAAAAAGATCAGCAACAATTGTTAGCTCAGGTGCCAATCTTTTAAAAAAAAAAAAGCTCTGAACTTTAAACTAGCAGATGCCTGAGGAACTTCTGTTCTTATCCATTTTCCTAACAAAAGGCTGATCAACAGATGTTGGGAGGGACAAGCAACTTTCCTATCCATCATGCTCCTGATTTTAGTAGTAATTAATTAACAATCCGGCACCTTTTATTGTCCCCATCTATAATCAGAATCATTCCCCAAAAGAACTTAAAAAAAAAAAGACAGACGTTTTAAGTTGGTCTTCAGGACTTAAAATTAAGTCAATCGACTTAAAATTAAGTCAATTACATAGCATATTCTTTAAAATTATGCCATTTTATAAGTAACGACTTCATCAAGAGGATTTGGATAAAGTCGAAAAACCTTAAGAAAAAAAGATGGTCTAGAGTAGGATTTATCAAATTAGCAAGAACCCATACAAGCCTGGCTTTCAGGATCATAACAAGCATGTAGGAAAGAAGAAATTTAAGAAGTATACATACTCATGCATCACTTAATGACAGGGATACGTTCTGAGAAATACACCAGGGAATCCTGTCATTGTTCGAACATCACAGAGAGTATTTGCACAAATCTAGATAGTATAGCCTACTACACACGTAGGCTATATGGTACTAATTCTATGGGACCACGGTGGTCTATCATCAACCGAAACGTCCTTAAGCAGCGTATGACTGTATTTACAGCACGACTGCTCAAACAGCTAGATACCAATGAAGCTGTTAAATTATAAGAAATATTAACTGAAAATTCGGGGACTGGATAATCCAAAGCACATCAATAGAGAATCATACAAATCTGTACTTAATGAAAAGTGGAAGCTGATTTCTATTACCTCATTTTAAAAGATGCCTCCTTACAGAGATGCCCAAAAGCAAACAGATTAGATTTCTATTTTTAAGAGTCTGGCAAGGGATTAACCTGTTATTATATGTAATTTTCATTGTGATGTGAGTTTACTTCTAACAGTGTACAGAGTTATTTACTCGACCATTCAAAACAAAGAAGGGAGGTTTAGTTCAAGGAGCCTTTCAAGATTACAAAGGAGAACACCAAGAGATAAATATCTTCAACTATGCCAATCTGTACCTTCTTCTGAAACCTTAATTTGAATACTTGCTTAACTTTAATATTCTTAATTCATCTTTACATGTTTTTCAAAATATTACGTCTGACCCACTCCAAGGCATCTGACACTGCTGATCACTGTTTCTTTAAAATTCTTCTCAGTTTCCACTGTCACACTCTCTTGGTTTTCTTCCTATCCTGTCCGTTCCTTCTCAGCCTCCACTTTTCTCCACTCCATATTTAAACATGTATTCTCCAGCACTTTGTTCTATCTAGGCCCTCTGCTTTCTTTCAATTTATATACCTCCCCCAATGGCTACATCCATACTCACAGCTTTAGTTCCATGTATTCCAGATCTACGTAGAAACACTTAACTATTGGACATACAATCATCAAATCTTACACGATCTCCTTAAAATGTCAGGCATCTCTTCTCTCCCTTCCCACTATCATGACTTTGCTTCAGGTTCTAATCATTTCTCTCTCTGACACAGCAATGAATGACCTCTTCCCTAGTCTCACCACTACCACGCTGCACCCTGCTACTAAAGTAAACTTTCTAAAATTCAAATGTGACCATGGTGCTCCCCTGCCAAAAATTATTGAACAGGTCTCTATGGTTTTCGGGAAAAAGTTCAAATTGGCTTACACAGTAAGTTCCTGCCAATATCTCTAAGCTCCATCTCCACTACACTCATCCTTTGGCTCCAGCCAAACTTTGCAGTCTGGATACAGTCAACCACTGTAACACCTCCTTGCCTCTGCATATGCTGTAAACCTAATCAGGGTATTCCTCAAAAGCCTAAATACCCATCCTAACCTAAAGTATTACTTCCTCCAGGAAATCTCGCCTATCCTCATAGGCTGATTTAGATACCTGTTCTCAATGCTCCCAGGACATTTTCCTCCTAAATCTCTTCCACATCAATCACACTCACGCATAGGTCTCCTTTATTAGACTATTAACAGTCTCCAGGAAAAGAGCACTTCGTAATCCCTGCACCTAACACACAGAAAGCATTCAACAACTGCTGTTTGAAGGAATGATCGAGGATTAAATGGGAATTTATACTTTGGTGAAGATATTCTAATGACAATGAACTTGCTCCTCCAACTAGAATAGTCAATGAACAAATCCTCTGCTGCTGTTGAAATGGTAATGCATACTTTTCATATTCTAACAGACCCACAGTGAGCCAAAGCCTTTATCATCTCATCTCTCCCTACCCATGAATCAAAAACTCATTTTGTAGCTGGACATAAATTTGTTTAAAGGCACAGGTTTGTCCTTTGTGAAAAGAGAAGAGCAAATGACATTGTAAACTAGATTATTTAAAACAGAATTGTATTTCTCCACCAAACTCCTTCAGGTCAATGAAGACACTGCTGCGCCATTACCACCCATTCCAAATAAAACTCCTCCCCCGCCTTCTTTAATTCATTGTTCAGCCAGAACCTCAGAGCAACTGTGTATGTGTTTGAGAAGGGTTTAAGGCTGGTAAAGGAGGGGATGGAAGAGGGTGATAGAGCAGTTAAGAGCCTACTCCTCTTATCAACAAAATCTATTCTATATTTCATTTCCACATCTAGTCTGGTCACATCCAAGCCCAACAAGCAGCTTTGAAAAAGATCCTTAACAATCATCTCCACTCTCTTTTCCACAGCCTTGAGGTCAAGCCAAATTACAGTCTGATTTTAAAATATCCCACAAGGGAAGTGAACTAGAACAAACGGCGTGGAATTTTGAGGGGAGCTAGAGATTACAATGAGTTCTATGAGGTCAATGACCCAAAGGGTAATTGAAATGATTCTGTCCAGAAAAGACTGACTTCCTCTCACTTCACCCTCCTTCCATCCCGCTCTTCCACCCACTGCCAGCACAAGCACAGGAAAGGCATCGAGTTATGATAATGAATACTGACAGATTAAAGGCCCAAAAGTATACATTGTGCCTTAGACATCTCAAAATATTTTTCTAACAATTCGGCATTTGTTGCATCAAATAAAAGAATTTCAGACTGTCATTCATCTCCCATTAACAGCAAAAACATAACCGCCATAACTTCAATCACGAAAAGTCACAGACTCTTAGCTCACACAACCACCCCAAAATGGGAGTAAGGGAGACAGTGCAGTTAACATTGAGAAGCAGAGTGAGAGGAGTGGGTATCCAGAAACAATTGTAATGAAATTTCTGATTAAGAACTCAAAGTTCAATCCATTCATTACAAAATTAAACAACCTAACTCTCCCCACCCCCACCCCCCCAAAAAAACGCCAAGGAGAAAGAAACAGAGCACTTAGGAACTTGTTTGATTCTTTTCAGCTATTTGCAAGCACACAGAACTTTCAACCCTGAGAGTATTTTTTGCAGATAAAGATTTCCACGCCTCACCTGCCAGGAATTCTTTTATAAATTTGGAATGGAGCCTGGAAATTGGTATGGTTACTTATAAAGTTCCCCAGGGACTCTGATCAGCAGCCAGGTTTGTCAGAAGTGCTATATACCTTCATAAGAAAGGCTCCTTCTAACCCTCACTGACACTCCAGCAGTCTGTAGGATTATCGAAGTTCTTCCTATAAATATGCCAAATAAAACAGCCCCATGCCACCTCACCTAATCCCATTGTGTTCTCGTCACCCCTCGGGTTACTGCTTTAATTTCAGTCCATGCCTTAGAGCAGTTTTTCTTTCTTATCTCCACCCTTCTAGTAACCAAATAATAAGAAGAAGGGTAAAACAAAGGGAAACAATCACTTCAATACCCGGAAATCCTGTTAGTTAGAGTAGCAAATCCATTCTAGAGCATTCTGCTGTGTACCGAATTTTAAACGAATCAAACCACTCTGAAGGGTGGTCTGCAAAGCCGGGCTGAAGGGTAAGTTGGAAAAGAGCTCCTGGATCTGGAAAGGACGAACCAAGGGGCCGAAAGGAGGAGAAGGGAAAACTTCACAGCAGGGCAGGTCGCCGAGTGGGCGGGCGGGCACCTTCGGCCGGTTTTGACACTCGACACCCCAGCCTTGTCGCAGGTTGCTAGGAAACAAAAAGGCTCCACGTTCCCTGCAGTTCCTCTCGGGCCTCGAAGAGAGGGGCCTGCGGGGCGTGGACATGGCACGGGGACCGGCCAGGCCACTGTCCCGGGGGCGCGAAGCGAGGGACACCGGGGGACCCGGGGCCAAGCTGAGGAGCCGCGCGCAGGAAGCGGGCCCCGAGCCCGAGGGAGGGCGCGCCGGGGCTCCGACGGCCGGGCACGAGCCCTCCGCGCCGGGCGCCGCTCCGACAGGCCGCGGCGGGCTCGCCTCCCGCCAGGCCGCAGCCGACGAGGGTCCGGGGCCGGATGCGGGGGCTAAAGGAGCAGCCGGTCCGAGCGGGGGAGGGGGCGTCTACTCACACGTGCTGACAGGCCGCGGTCCGCACGGGCGTTTTGAGCACCTCCTGACAGACGGGGCAGTAGAAATCATCTTCGGTGTAGGACGTGGCCGCGGAGAGCTCCTCGGCCATGGCGGGGGATGGAGGATCCAGGCGGTGGCGAAGGCGGCGGCGGCAGCAACCCAGGTGGCGGGGGCAGCCCCGGGCCCGACTCCCTGCGCGAACCCGGAGGGGGAGGAGAATCCCGTCAGGAAGCGGCTCGCGCCAGGAAGGGGGCGGCGCCCTGGCGGGGAAGGGGCGGGGCCGAACGCCGAGACGCTGCGGCCGCACGCGCCGCGCCGGGGAGGGTCGGCCCGCCGGGCGGCTCCTCCTGCAGGGGCAGGGCGGGAAGGCGGCCCTGGGACGGGGGCGGCGCCCGAGAAGCCTGCGATTGGTTTCACTTTCGCTTCCGCCCGGGCTCGGAGCATGTGGGGCGTCGCCTCTCTCGCCGGGCAGAGCGGTCCCAGGCCGCAGCCTCCCGCCGGAGGCCACACCCGTACCTGGCTCCCGGAGGCGGCCGCCGCTCCGCCCCGCCCCCAGCCCTATTCTTCGCCTCGGGCCTCCCTTTCCCCCGCTTTTCGGCTCCGTTTTCCGCTCTCTCGCTGAATCCCCAGTGCGCTCAGCCGTCTCGCTCCCCGCGCAGCCCACCCTTGTGCGCGGCTCCCTGCCTCTCCCCACGCCGCCCTCGCCCCGAACCGCCACTCGGCTTTCGTGGACGCTCACTTAGGAGCCCCGGAGCAGACCAGCTGACGAGCTGCTTCCCTGGCGCGTGTTGGTAGAGAGGTGGCCCTGCGCCGTCCTCGGGCTTCCTGTCCGGCGCTGCTGCCTTCGCATCCGAGGCCAGGAGCGGAGTGGCGGGCGGAGTGCGCAGTGCTCATCGGCCCGAAGCGGGGCCGGGCTCGAGGCTCATGGTGCACCAGGATCCCACCGCCCCCTCCAGCAGCTCTCCCCTGGCATTGCGCTGCCAGCCGCCTACAGCCTGCCGGGCAGGTCACCGATCACAGTAGGGCTGTGAGCGCTGGGCCGAGGACTGGGAAGAGGGCGGGGCGGGGAGCGCAGCCTCCATGGCAACCGGCGCGTGTAGCCTTCAGAGGTTTGTGACGTCAACAGGTGCTTGCCGACCTGTACCCCCAGCCTCCCTACAGCGGGGACCCCATTTCTCCCCGCTCCTATCAAATATATTGAGTTTTGACTTGTCAGAATGTTTTGATCATGTCAAGATGTGTTAAGAAGCAAGTAATACCCGTTATGGGATTTTAATCCTTTGGGGAAGAAAAATTAAAAATAAGCTCCCTTGAGAGGGTTTCAACTTTTCGCCCTTAACACACTGTGGCTGATGAGTTATAGTCGCAGATGCAGTCTTCACCAACGCTTTTGTTTTGTTTTTTGATAGCTTTGAAGAAAAGTGAGTTAGAAGCATGGATTTAAGCATTTCAACAACGTTATTGACTAAACGTTTCTGTTATTTTTTAATAGGCGCTAATATAGCCACACAATTGTTCAGTCTAGAAGATGGGGCAACAACCACATGAAAGGAGCTAAGGAAAATCTGGAACATCATAAAGCATACTCAATTAGCTTTCAGAAAAGAAAAAAGGTTTCATTACCATGCTTTGTTAAAGCTCTCCACCGTGGTCTAAATGAATCATAAGTAGAAGCCATTGAAGGGACTAGTTAATTCAATTCGGTCATTGTCTACATTGTCCTTGGCACTGTGTTAGATGCTATGCAGATGTCATAAACTTTGCTCTCAACTAGTTTGCAGTCTTGGATGTCTATCAAAATGAAAGAACAAAACGTTATATTTGCCAACGTATTAAATATGTCATCAACAGTGACTATAAAAAGGATAGGAAATGGAATGACTGGATTTGTAAGAACTTAGAAAAAACCTTCTGGAGGGAGCAGAGCTTAAGGTGCATCTTAAAATGATGATTCCTAGAATAATACTGAATTATTTGTCCAATGAACAGCTAATTTCCTCCAACAAACTACAACATTTTGTATTTTTTCCCTTTCTGCCCTAGCAAGAACAGTGAAAGCAGAGGTGGAAAGCTAATTTTAGCTTCAGATTTCATGGAAGGAGGAAGAGCATTTGATGGGAGGGGCATCTATTAGCAGTAGTCCAGGTGCTTTTCAAATTCACTTGTAAAATGATTCTTGGGGGCCAGTCCTGTGATATAGTGGCTAAGTTCAGGTGTGCTCCACTTCTGCTGCCTGGATTCGTGGGTGCAGATCCAAGCACAGATCTACACCACTCATCAGCCATGCTGTGGCAGCAACCCACATAAAAGAGAAAAAGATGGGCACAGATGTTAAACTCAGGGCTAATCTTCCTCAAGCAAAGAAAGAGGAAGATTAACAACAGACGTTAGCTCAGGGCGAAGCTTCCTCAGCAAAAAATAGATTCTTGGATTCCAAATTTCACCTTTTTGATAACATATTTCCAATGATATTTCCCTCATCTTGACCACTTTAGGGAGGGTATTTTCTACATAGTACAGTGTTGCCCTTTGCTCATTGGGAATCTTTATCCAGAACATTAATTTTGTGACTTTAATTTTATTTGCGTCATTCTTTCTCTGTAATGGCAGCCTTACTCATGCCCTAATTCAAACATGTTTGACATGTTTGTGTTACTTCCTCATATGTTCTAAGAAGTCATTTGGCATACATGTAAGCATATAATTGGCAGTATGTGGAAATCCATCAAAAATGTGGGTATAAAGAAAATGTAGTTACCTTCTAAGAGTTAAGCTTAGAAAAATAAGCCATAATTGCCAAAAGAAACAATCTTCTGTCTTGGCAGCATTTCATATGAAAAACTACTTGATATTTTTATGGCAGTGTCACAGATTTACTCAAAATACATTCAGCTGTGTAAATAAAATGTCCTCAGCCTTTGGGCAGTAGGGGAAAACCCTAAAAGTTAGATCAATTTAATAAACTTAGTCCATTGCGATAATTTAAACAGTTCCTTTAAGTTTAGGTTAAAATACTCAGTCTCTTAAGGTTCCATCTCTCTCTGCTCCCCTCAAAATGACGTCTGGAGTCTAGGAGAGAGGATGATGGGTAGCTGACGTGAACCTGAGACACTGCTGGGGAATCTTGGTCCTGAGACCTGCAAGGTCTCTTGAATTCTTGCTGGACTTTCCTGTAGCAAGGCTCATTTTGGCTGCTCTCTGAGATGCAACGAGTCCTGGGCATTCTGCTGCTGGGACCTGGTGGTGAAGCCTACTCTGGCCTATCTCAGCTGGGTCAGGGTCCTTCAGTGTGCTCTGGTTGGTTCATCCTCACTAACACTGTAGAACCCTCTGAATCTCTGCCACAATCATCTTCTCAACAGAGGCAGACCCCAATACTCTCAACACAGCTACTGTCCGTGGCATCCTTTGGGGCCCTCCTCTCTCTCACTCTGAGAGAAGACTTCCTTCTAAACATTCTTTGTGACTGAATTTGGATGAATTGCTGACCCCATGGTTGGTTCTGCACAGCTTATAAGGCAATATGCTTTCAGCTCCCCAACCCTCAGCAGTTCCTTCAGTCTAACACACTTTTCACCTACTCTGTCTCTTTTCCAACCACAATCCCTTGGACGAGAAAGAATGGACCTTTACCCTTGCCAGTACTCCTGATTGGACCGTCCCGTATGCAAAACTCTTCAGTCAAGTCCACTAAGCCAGTTAATTAACATTCTAAAGGCGGAGATAAATGAATCCAGAAAATTAATTTCTTTATTGACAAAGCCTAGCTTTTGTCTTGCTACAAAGCCTCAAAAGCCTGTTTTTCTAGTAAAAGAGGTTGCCTTTGAAGAAGTGAACTGGGAAGCTGGGGGATGGAATGAGAGCAAGGCTCCTGTGTCACTGCCTACCCTTTGGTATCTTTTTAAATTGGTACCGTGTGCAGTGTTGACCTTCAGCGGGTTTGCACCAGTACAACTCTACTAGTCCTTTTCAGCCTTGCCCATTCTGATTGGTCAGCAGTCTGTCCTGAATGGCCAGTGCTCATTTGGTTCCAGTTGTTAAATATTTTCAACATTATTCTTGACTATCTACATAAATAACCTATTCTCTGAAGGTATATCATTTAATTATTTAAGCCTGTTTTGGAAATACACTTTTTTTGAAAAAATGAGCAAGATTCTTTACCTTCCTGTTAAATTAATCCTAATTTCTTCTTTTCCCCACCTCGCCCCAGCACACAACACAAACACACACAGGCAGATGGATGCCTTAGGCTGTAGGAAGAAGTCAGGGGAATAAAAATGTGAAAGAGAAACCATAACAGGCACCATGTTCCTATCAGCAAACATTCATAAACCCTACTCACATCCCCACTCTAAGAAATCATGGTTTTTGTTCACGTATCTCTTTTTTTTCCCAGTTATGTCCTTCAGGACGCAACACTCATTGCCACCTCAAGGGGAAGAACCATGATTGAGATTAGCCAATCTGGATGTGCCATTTCCTCTTGCCAGTGGTTTAGGCATGGGCATGTGACTCCTCCATTGTGACCAAGAAGGTGTGAAGGGAATTCTTTTGAGGGACTTCAGCAAGTGCTTTCTTTGCTGATTAAAAAACAAACAAATCGGGGCCAGCGCCGTGGCTGAGTGGTTAAGTTCTTGTGCTCCACTTCAGCGGCCCAGGATTTCACTGGTTCAGATCCTGGGCCCGGACATGGCACCACTAATCAGGCTGTGCTGAGGTGGCGTCCCACATAGCACAACCAGAGGCACTCTCAACTAGAATATACAACTATGTAACTGGGGGCCTTTAGAGAGAAGAAGAAGGAAAAAAAGAAAAAAGAAAAACAGACAAATAGGAATAAACAATTCCATGCTACATTCTGATGTTTTCTTGTCTATCTTTGCTGCATGGAACTCTGCAACCATCATGAAACCATGAAAAGAACAAGCCAGTGGATAGCCAATGTGCTGAAGATGGCAGAGCTGAAAGATGGAAGGAATGTAGGTCCTTGATGTAAGTGAGCCATTCAGTTAATCTAACCACCCTGAAACTGCCCTACCTCCTATCTGTTAAGCCCATCTGGTTTCAGCCCTTCCCAGTTGGCTCTTCTGTTATCTGTAGCTGAAAGTATCTGAGCTAGGCATTTGCTCATTGACTATCAGATCCATTCTCCCACCTGTCCCCTGTTCTGCTCTGTGTTGCTGGAGCTGACCCTTACAAACTTGCCCCATTTTCCCTTGCCAACTGACTTCTGGCTATATTCAGCCAATGGGAGGCACTGATAAGAGACTGGAAAAAAGAAGCCAAGGTATTACTCCCTCTCTCTCTGCTTTTTGCTATGCTTCATTTCTTCCATGGTTTCAGCTTCTGGGAGACCGCCCTTATCCTCTAGGGTCCCAGTTCCTGCTGGAAAGTCCCTGCCTTTTCTCAGTGGCTTCTGTGTTTGCCTCCCTGTCACGTTTGTTCTTTCAGCACTCCTGACATGTTTGTAATTAATTTTCCATATTAAATATCCTCTTTTAAACTACGTATTGAGAGCTCTCTTTCCTTGTTGAACCCTGACGCATTTTGCCAACTGAATCAACACTTTAGGAGGAGAGGGGAAAGCAAAGGAGAAAGAAACACTGCAAGAGTGGTTCCTCTTCCCAAAAGAGAAGAAACTGAGTTACTTGTCGTTGTAAGTTTAAATTCTCTCCTCACGACTCTGCAAATTAGCACAAATGGAAAGTCAAATGGGAGATTAAGTTAAATATAAAAAGTAAAGGAATTTACTCTTTTTTAGTCCACTCCAGTTTGTGACAGTTAAATTTCAACTCCTTCATAAATGTCATTATAATATGCATTTTCATGCTGTTTACATAGCATTTAATTTCCTATCAGCGGTATTTTGTGTTCTTTTGTACAGCTGTCATTTTTAACAATACTCCTATTAGTAGTCCCAGTGGCCCTATTTATGCTGTAGAATCAGGCCTCCGTGTTACAGTTGATTAGAATAGAGGTGTATATAGTCCCAACTGTGCAAGTTACACTCTCTCCCAAGAATGTGGAATTGAGATCCCTATTCTTGTCAGTCTCTTAAGTGCCTAAACTTGGCAGGTATATTAACAGGAGCTGTGGGGCAGGCATCTTCTTCCTTCCCCAAGTAGAGAAAGCCAATCAGTACAGAGAGAGCAAACCAACAATGAAACAGACATTCTGAATGCAGCTAAAGA